GGTATCAGCCTTCCCACAGCAACGAATGCTTTGGACAGACCACAAACTTGGCGAGATGCCCCGGGCTACCCCGGTAAATCACAACAGAGTCAGACCCTTCCGTTGTCAGAGGCCTACAAGTGCAGGGGTGGAGGCAACCACAGAAGGATTTTCAAATTATTTGGTGGAGGGGGTGGGGGATGGTGCAGATTATAATGTCTCAGAGACTGGAACTTCAAAAATGTTTGGTTCTGGTAGGGATTTCCCTAGATAGCTGAGGAAAACACAGTTTTAATGGACTTCCATGAAAAAAAAAATTGTCAAAGCAAAATTACTTCTTTCTCTCCAATCTTAAATCAAATATGTTCTTCTTCTGTACACTGTTATGATTTTTAAAAATCTATGAAATTTAAGCCCGAGGTAGAAATTTAGCTTTATGCTCAAATTCTTTCATTTTCTACATAAGGAACTTTTGATAGAAAAGAGACCACAAGTTTATCTTTGTCTCCTTCTTTCCTTACTAAAAAAATTATTAATTAAAAAGATATGTATTCACCCTTATCACCTGTCTCAGAGTTTCAGTATAGAGTTATAAATTCCTCCCCAGCTGTCCTATTATTATTATTATAAGGTAGGTTCAAAAGAGAACAAACTTTCTGACTAGATATCACTCATTAACCCTCTCAGAATATAGCCTTCTACGGTGCTCATCAATTAGTATCTATAGAGGGTCACACGTGTAGAAATTACTGTGTCAGACAATTTCAGCTTCATGATTTCTAAGTGGTCTTTCTGAAACCTGTGTTGAGCAAGTGTAATACTGTGTCAGACAATTTCAGCTTCATGATTTTTAAGTGGTCTTTCTGAAACCTGTGTTGAGCAAGTGTAAGAATACAAGGAGTTTTGAAACAAAAAGTGTTGCATGAAAGTCATGGGGACTGAACTAGGCAGTCCCTAGCCATGTCCTTCTCTCCAAATGTTGAGGAGTTGGGTGGCTTAATGACTCCTCTTCCTTCTATGGACAGCACCCAAGGAGCACTGCTGAGGAATGAGTCACCTGGGGTCCTCTGCTGACTGTCTGGAGAGATCTGACTCATGTCGGCGCCTGTCTGGGTCTCTGACTTCTCATCAGTAAAATGAGAGGCTAGAGATCATCATCTCTAAGGTCCTTCCCATTTCATCTCTTTGATCTGGGAAATGAGCTGTATATTCCTCCTCTTGACTTTAAACTGAACTGCATTAAGCTTACTTAAATAGATGTAAAAAAATAAAAGTGATTTCTAATTTCTCCAATTTAACTGCATTTTTATAAGATGACCATTTTTTAAATAGGCAACACATCATCATAAAAATGCTCAGTGGAAGAAGTCCCATTAAAGTATGGCCTTTGGTTTTGTCAAGTCAACATTCACTGTTGTGTCACACATTTCATAGTTTTTATATAAAAGTACAAGGTCATAAAATAATCTTATGTAGTAAACTCTAAAAAAACATCCTGAGAGCAACTTCATTTTTAAAGAAAAATGAAGCCATGACTATACTGATTTGTTTTTAAGTTACCACTGAACAAGACATTCTTTATAAATGTGAACACGTGGATATACAGTGATGAAAATGAAATGTAGCAATTATAAAAATGTAATAATCCATTCCAACTGTAGCAATATAAAATCAATCTAAACTTTTCCCTAGCAGTGAAGTAATTAGATTGATATTTTACAATTCAGTGAATATTTTTAGATTGGTTAAAGCATGAAGATTTTTGGATGAAGAACACTTATAGTTTATATGCCAAGATCAAATGGTTTTATATCTTACTTCTCTCCTGTTGTTATATAGCCTTAAATGGTTGAAAGAACCTTTCTAAACAGGTTTTGTTTTTTTGCTTATATATGTCTTTCTTTTTTTATATAGAAAATACCAAATTGCTATGGACTTTAAACCAGAGAACCATGCTGATAACATCTAAACAAAGTAAAATATTATGAAATCCATAAACCATGTTTATACCCTTTTACATGGAGCCTTTTAAGAGCAAACTAATCTCTCTGGGAATTCTTCCTACCAGAAATTAGTCTAGACCAGTGGTCGGCAAACAGCGGCTATCGAGCCACATGCGGCTCTTTGGCCCCTTGAGTGTGGCTCTTCCACAAAATACCACGTGCGGGCGTGCACATACAGTGCGATTGAAACTTCGTGGCCCGTGTGCAGAAGTCGGTTTTCGGCCTGGGTGAGTCTATTTTGAAGAAGTGGCATTAGAAGAAGTGGGGGGTGTCGGCGGTCGGGCTCGGGATACGCAGCGCGGGGGAGGCGAGTGCGATTCATGCAGGAGTTGAGTTGAGTGAGCCAGTCAGTCAGCAGCCTCAAGTGCAGTGGTTAGTGCTAGTCGCGTCCGCAAATCGCGTGGGTGACAAAAGTACCTACTCGAAGCATCAAGTTACCTGTATTTTTCCAACCAGCTGCAAATCCTACAGGCATTTTTGTTTTG